TGTGGAGCATACCCTAAGTTTGTCCACATTCTCAATCATAAAGCAAGTCTCAATAAATTCAAAACATTGAAATAATACAAAGCATTTTCTCAGACCACCGAATAAAAATAGAAATCAGTACCAAGAGGAACTCTCAAAACCACAGAAATACATGGAAACTAAACAACTTGCCCCTGACTGACTTTTGGGTAAAGAATAAAATTAAGGCATAAATTTAAAAAGTATTTGAAATAAATGAAAATGGAGAGACAACATACCAAAACTCCTGGGATGTGGCAAAAGCAGGGTTAAAAGGAGAGTTTACAGAGCTAAATGCCTACATCAAAAAGATAGAAATATCTCAAATTTTAACGACCTAGCCTTGCAACCAATAGTGTGAGCAAAATAAGAACAAACTAAATCCAAATCTAGCAGAAGAAATGATTAAAATCAGAGCAGAGCTGAATGAAATCGAGACTTCAAAGGATCAATGAATCCAAAAGTTCATTTTTTGAAAAGGTAAACAAGGCGGACAGACCACTAGCTAGATTACCAAAAAAAGGACATCCACATAAGCACAATAAAAAATGACAAAAGTGACATCACAGCAGATCCCGCAGAAATACAAAAGCTCCTCAGAGAATATTATGAACATCTCTATGTACACAAACTAGGAAGTCTAGTGGAAATGAATAGATTCCTGGAAACGCAAATTCCCAAGATTGAACCAGGAAGAAACAGAAATCCTGAACAGATCAATAACAGGTAAGGAAATGTAATCAGTAGTAAGAACCCTGGACCAAATGGGTTCAGGTCACAGCTGAATTCTACCAGACATACAAAGAACAGCTCGCACCAATCCTACTGAAAGTATTCCAAAATACTGTGGAAGAGCGACTCCTCCCTGACTCATTCTATGAAAGTAGTATAATTCCGATACCAAAATCTGAGAAAAACCCAAAAAAGAAAACTATAGACCACTGTCCATGAACACAGATGTAAAAATCCTCAAAAAATACTAGCACACAAATCCAACAGCACATCAAAAAGTTAATTCACCACAGTCAAGTGGGTTTTATTCCTGGGATGCAGGGATGGTCCAACATATGTAAATCAATGTAAATGATTCACCACATAAACAGAATTAAAAACAAAAATCATGATCATCTCAATAATTGCAGAAAAAGCATTTGACAAAATAGAGCAGCATCTCTTCATGATAAAAAAACTCTCAACAAACTAGGCATTGAAGGAACATACCTCAAAATAATAATAGCCATCTATGACAAACCCACAGCCAACATCATACTGCATGAACAAAAAACTGGAAGCATTCCCTTTGAGAACAAGACAAGGATGCCCACTCTTACCATTCATATTCAACATAGTACTGGAAGCCCAAGCCAGAGCAATCAGGCAAGAGAAAGAAAAGGTATCCAAATAGGAAAAGAGGAAATCAAATTATCTCTCTCTGCTGACAATATAATTTATACATGGGAAACCCTGAAGATTCTGCCAAAAGACTCCTAAACCTAATAAATGACTTAAGCCAAGTCTCAGGATACAAAATCAATACACAAAAATCAGTAGCATTTCTATAGCCCAATAATGTACAAGCTGAGAACACAATCCCATTTACAATAACCACACACATTCACAGTACCTGGGCATCCATCTAACCAAGGAAGTCAAAGATCTCTACAAGGAGAAAGAAATCATAGACTACACAAATGGAAAAGCATTCTATGATCATGGATTGGAAGATTCAATGTCATTAAAATGTCATACAACCCAAAGCAATCTACCAAATTACCAATATAATTTTTTGCACAATTGGAAAAAAACTATTCTAAAATTTATATGGAACCCAAAAAGAGCCTGAATACCAAAGACAATCCTAAACAACAAGAATAAAGCCAGAGATAATTCATCTCCATCTCCTAACTTCAAACTACACTACAAAGCTACAGTAACCAAACAGAATGGTACTCATACAAAAATAGACACATAGACCAATGCAACAGAATGGAAACCCCTGAAATTAAGCCAGATACCTACAACCACCTGATTGTCAACAAATTGGTAAAAATAAACAATGAAGAAAGGACTCCCTATTCCATAAATGATGCTAGAGAAACTGCCTAACCATATGCAGAAGGATGAAACTGCACTCCTACGTCTCATTATATGCAAAAATTGACTCAAGATGGATTAAAGGCTTAAATGTAAGACCTCAAACTATAAAAATCCTAGTAAATACTCTTCTAGATATTGCCTTAGGCAAAGAATTTATATCTTAAGTGCTCAAAAGCAAATGCAATAAAAATGGACAAATGGAGAGAAATTCTGCACAGGAAGAGAAACTATCAACAGTGTAACAAACTACATACTAGGAAAAAATATTCACACACTATGCATCCAACAAGGGATTAATATCCAGAATCTATAAGGAAGTTAAATCAACAAGAAAAATAACATTAAAAGGTAGGCAAAGGACATGAAAAGACACTTCTCAAAAGAAAACATACAAGTGGCCAACAAACCCATGAAAAAAATCTCAACATCACTAATAATCAGACAGATGTAAATGAAAACCACAATGAGATACCATTTCATACCAGTCAGAATGGCAATTATTTAAAATATTAAAAAAAAAAAAAAAGATAGATGCTGGTGAGGTTGCAGATGAGGTTGCAGAGAAAAGGGGAGATTTACATAGTGTTGGTGGGAATGCAAATTAGTCCAATCTTTGTGGAAAGCAGTTTGGAGATTACTCAAAGAATTAAAAGTAGAATTATCATTGAGCTAAGCAATCCTGTTACTGGGTATATACCCAAAGGCTAATAAATCATTCTCTCTGCACTTGTACATTCATTGTAGCATTTTACACAATAGCAAAGACAGGGAATTAACCCAGGTGCCTATCAATGGTGGATCAGATAAAGAAAATGGAGAATATATACACGATTACTATGCAACCATAAAAAATTAAATTATGTTATTTGCAGCAACAAAGATACAACTGGAGGTCATTATTCTAAGTCATTTAACATAGAAACAGAAAACCAAATACTGCATGCTCACATTTATAAGTAGGAATTAAACATTAGGTATACAATGGACACAAAGTCAGAAACAATAAACACTGGAGATTCCAAAAGAAGAGAGAGAGAGCAGAGCACAACGGCTGAACAACTACCTGTTGGGTACCATGTTCACTAATTGGATGATGGAATCATTAGAAGCCTAAACAGCATCATGTAATATACCCAAGTAACACACCTTCACATATAATTCCTGAATCTGAAATTAAAATAAATGAAATAAATGGTATTGGGAAAACTGAATATCCACATGTGAAAAAATGAAATTGGAGCCTTTCTTATTCCATACACAAAATAAATTTAAAATGAACTGAAGACTTAAACACCTGAAACCATAAAACTCCTAGAAAAAAACATGGGGAATTTCCTTGACTTTGGCCTTGCCAATGGTTTTTTGGATATGACTCCCAAAACATAGGAAACAAAAGGAAAAATAGACAAATAAATTACACCAAACTAAAAAGTGCCTGTACAGCAAGGAAAGTATCAAGAAAAGAAAAATGCAACCTATGAATTGGTGGAAAATAATGAGCAAACCACGTATCCCATAAGGGGTTAATATTTAAAAAAAATAAAGAGCTTACACAACTTAATAGCAAAAAAAAAAAAAAAGTGGATTTTAAAAATGACAAAAGTACCTGAATAGACATTTTTTCAAAGAAGACATACAAATGGCCAATAGATATATATAGAAAGAGGAGGGATATTCTAAAAACTGGTATGAAATGAGAAAAAATAATTGACAGATCCAGAAAAATAAAACAGTTATTCAGTAGACATGAGGACTAGGTTTCAGAGATGAGAGATTGGGGTGTATTTCTATAAAGGTAGATTAAGATCAGTCTGGGAAGAACCTTGATTGCCAGGCTGAGGGGCTTGACATAAGTATAGATTTTTAAAAATCTTCTTTTAAGGACATCAGACCACTGTAGAAGCAAAAAACTAAAATTCTGGAGAGATAGGAGCACTTCCTCAGTGAGTTGATATGGCCAACCATTTACTTCTCTGGGAACACTTATAAAGTCTAGCCCTATACTGAAGATTGAGCTTGGCATAAGCAGATAAACTCTAGTAGGGGAAAGAGAAAGTGGTGGAACACTGAATATAGGCTGATAGGACTAACTGAAATCTAGAAGAGCCCTAGATGCATGGTTGGTTTTCAATGTGAGATATTCACTGAGTGTTTGTAGGGGAGAGGATATGGTGTATTGGGAGACTGGGCCAGAAGAATCCCACAGGAATATCCCTCAGTGTTATTTGGGAGTAAATGCTTAGGAGACAGAGTTCCACTAGAATGAAGGCCCTACTACAAATACACCTCAAGTCTTGTTCTTGAGACATTTGAAACTAGAGTAGGACTATGTCTAACTAAAAGTGCCACTGAACACTGATCTAGCTCAGATTCTGGTAAGAATGAGGTGATCTGTCTTGTATTCTAACATAGTAAAGAGCAAATTGTCTCCTGTTGAAAATATTGATTTTAGTTTTTGTGATTCTCTTTTACACAACATCCAACATATAGTAAAATGTTGAGGTCTATGAAGAATGAGGAAATATTTGAAGAGATAATGGTGAAGACCTTTCCAAAACTGATGAAAGAATCAGCCCACAGATTCAAGAAGCTCAGCAATCTCCAAAAGAAATACAAAGGAAACCACCCTAGACAACTATTGTCAAACTTCTGAAAATGAAGTCTTAAAGGTACCAAATGAAAAACTAAACATTATCTACAAAAAGAAAAAAATCATATCTGACTTTTAAACAGAATGAGACCTGACTTTTCACAGAAACTATAGAAGTTAAATGACAATGAAATGACATTTTTAAAGTTGTAAAGATGTGAGAAGCATCGAGAATTTTAAAGCCAGCACATCTGAGAATTGTGTATCTAGTAAAAATACCCTTTAAAAATTAAAGCAAAGTAAAAATGTTTTCAGACCAAAAAAAAAAAAAGCTGAGATCCATACTACAAAAAGTATTAAAGGAAATTCTTCAGTTGAAAGGAAACTTATTCCAGATAGAAGCATGAAATGCAGGAAGGAATGAAGCACACAGAAAGGGTAAATATAAAAGAATACTGACAACTTAAAGTCACAATTACCATATTATGTTTTTACATAAATAGAATTAAATTGTTTAAAGGTTCTTCCATTGTTGTAGAAGCGGTAAAAATAGCCGTTTAAGTTTGAGCCAGAAAAATCTCCTAAGTCAAAAATTCATTATTTTTAAAATATAGAAAGTTAAAACTCTAACAGAGAAAGTGCAATAATAAAAATGCCATTACTACAAAAGGAGGCAGGAAATAAGGGGTATGGGAACAAAGAAGGGACATATCAAAAGCAAATAGCAATACAGTCAACTTAAGCTCAGCTAGATCGTTACATTAAATGTAAATGAAGAAAATATTTTGATTAAAACTCAGACTTATTTTTCACACAAAAAGGTAAGACTTGTAAAAATATGCCAATAATTTACAACTTACATAAAATGAATAAATTTTTTGAAATATACAATTTACCAAATGTAACTCAAGAATAAATAAGAAGTCAAAATAGTCCTGTATGTGTAAAGGAAATTGAATTTGTAGAATTGAAGGTGTAATTTTAAACCTCACCATAGAAAAATCCAGAATTTTCAGCTTCTGTGTAGGATGCAGAGGCCAGAAAAATTATGTTCCCAACATAATAAGAAAAAGCAAGATAATCTACAAAATCATAAATGTTTACGGATCCTTTATAAAGCTGATAATCCACAAAATCGTAAATGTCTATGAATCCTTTAGAAAGCTGAGGTCAGAGGTAAACCAATTAGCCTGAAATTTAAGGAAAAACAACTCGTACCCAGTTGAGACAGGAGGCAAGCACTGTTTCACCCAAAGCAGGGCATGGAATGAAGACTAGTTGTTACACAAGTGGATAAAATAATTCATTTACATCTGTGAGAGTATAGAAGCTCCTAGAACTTCAGACACTAAAGTAGGTGTTCAAAACTACTTATAGACTCTTCCCTGTGGATATTCACTGTGTGATCATCACAAAGATTGGGAGAAAGGCTGGAAACCACACATTGCTTTGGTGGCGCAGCCATGGAGAGAAGAATGGTTGTTGAAAAAAATAACCGGGAAGCTCCATTTGAATGCCTCTAACCTACAGAACAAAAGCATTAATTCGCTGCAGGAGAGGCGTCACTGTAACACCCCGAATGAATAGGTGAAGATGTGTTGCAACTTGAGGAAAGGTAAAGGAAAAGTAACAAGAAGCAAACTAAAACCAAACCTTGATCATGAAGAAAGAACAGGAAACTGTCTTGGGACCAACAACTAGAGACCTACTACATCAAGTGAACATGCAGGTGCACTAAGAGAGCCCTGCTTCTGAGACCCAAGGGCACAGGGCCTGCCTAAGACTGGAAGCTGGACCAGGACAACAGAGAAACCATCAGACACCCACCTTCCATTTCCCAAATACAAGATCCTCAATGTGTATGCCCTTGTCACTTGAGCTTCAAATACACAAAGCAAAAACTTATAGTACAAACATAAGAAATGTAAAAATATGCATTTGCAGTTGGAAACTTTAACACTCCCTTTAAGTAATCTATAGAACATAGACAGGAAATGAGAATGATATAAAGACCTGACCAACACTATCAACGATCTTGTCCAAATTGACATTTCTAAGTCCTTCTGTCAACAATAACAGAATACACATTCTTTTCAAGTACACATGAAATGTTTATCCAGACAAACTATATTCAGAGTCATAAAACAAACCTTAACAAATATAAGGGCCGGGCGCGGTGGCTCACGCCTGTAATCCCAGCACTTTGGGAGGCCAAGGCGGGTGGATCACGAGGTCAAGAGATTGAGACCATCCTGGTCAACATGGTGAAACCCCGTCTCTACTAAAAATACAAAAAATTAGCTGGGCATGGTGGTATGTGCCTGTAATCCCAGCTACTCAGGAGGCTGAGGCAGGAGAACTGCCTGAACCCAGGAGGTGGAGGTTGCGGTGAGCCAAGATTGTGCCATTGCACTCCAGCCTGGGTAACAAGAGCGAAACTCCGTCTCAAAAAAAAAAAAGAAACATATAAAGAATTGAAATGATGTAATGCATGTTTTTGATCATAACAGAATTAAACATCAATAATAGAAAAAAAAATTTGGAATAAAAACCCAAATATTTGGAAACTAAACAACAAATTTCTAAATTTCTAATGGTTTTAAGCAGAAGCAAGAAAAGAAATTAGAAAATATTTTGAATTCAATGAAAATGAAAAGACAGTATATCAAAATCTGAAAGAAGCATCTAAAGCAAAGCTTTGAGAAAAAGTTGTAGCATTTAAGATTCATATTAGAAAAGAAAGCCTTAATAGCCTAAACCTTCATCATATGAAACTAGAAAAATAAGAGCAAATTAAATCCAAAGCAAAGTTGAAGGAAATTAATGATAACAGCAGCAATCAATAAATTTGAAAACAGAAAAACCGTAGAGAAAAAAATAAATGAAACAAAAAAAAATTGGTTCTACTAAAAGATAAAGTTAACAAACCAAAAGAGAGAAGACACTAATTACAAATATCAAGAATGAAAGAAAACAGCACTACAGACCTTACAGACCTTTATTCTACATTGTGGCTTTTCTTTTTTTTTTTTCCTTTCTTATTTTTGACAATTTTATCAGGTTGCCATTCATTTCATGTTTGCTTCAAGAAGGAAGAATTTAGTACTTAGAAGGTAATATTGACAGTATTTGAAAACCACTTGAAAAGAAGAAAAGGAAATGAGGGAGAGAAAGTCAGTTAGACGGAACCTTAGCCTGAGATGCCAAATTCATAACAGAAACTTTGTTGATACGTTATTTTCTGGGGAATGTGAGTCTGAGTGAGATAATGAATTCAACGGGGGCATACTAAATTTCATTTATCTGAGGGACATTCAAATAAAGATGTCTAGTAGGCAGATAAATATGTGAGTTTGGTGTTTGAAAGGAGGTCTGAAGTAAAGATTCAAGTTTGGGAGTCATCAGCTTACAGGTAGTATTAAAACCATGGGAGGAGATTGGTGGTATGCAGATTGAAAAAGATGAGGCCCAGGATGATGTCCCCTGACTTTGTAAAAGTAGTTTCCAATTCCATGGTACCACAAAGACACCACAGGGTGCAGTCCCAGGTACCAGGAAAAAGAACTAGCATAAGCAACTGAAGACTTTTGTCCTAAAAGAACCACCTAGAACAGCTCACTATATTAAAATGAGGTTGGGCCTGGCACCTCCTGATGGAGTGAGACTCTGTCTCAAAAAAAAAAAAAAAAAAAAAAGGTTGGAGCTGTATATACAAATAGTGGGCAAGTGCACGCAGACACTTCTTGGACTTAAAGCTGTTCAGAAGAGAATAAACTTTGTAACTAGATTTTAGTGGCTAGACATAAAAAGTGAGTTGAAGAAACATCTAACAAGGGCTGCCACATAACCAGACTGTATTGCTAGATGTGGACGGCATTATGTTTGTTTTCTTGTTCATTTTTCCCAGAAGTATCATAAAACACTAAAAACAGGTGATAAATATTATGATGTTTTAAAGGTATTGCTAGAATGTTATTAATAAACATTCCAGAATAGGTAATACATATTCCAGGCATATGAACATAGGCATATTTATAGGGAGAAATCAATTTTCTGCTGTTATCTAGAACTTATATTCATACTATTGCATGGTATCACATCCATTTCTCAGTGGCCAAATTCTTGCTTCCATTTTGAAAGCCAGAGCTGGTTTGGTGAGGGAGAAATAGTCTCTTCTGTTTACTCTCTTATATTGAAAATCTTTTTTTTCTTTTTTTGGCAGCAAGAATTCTACCTATATGATTGTGTGGAACTATAAACCTTCAATAACATCTGTGATACCTTTTAGTTAATGAAAAATCGTGTTATACTTTTATACTTTAGTTTGCAAAGAAGAGAGATTCCCTCATGGCATCTCAAGAAAAAAAGACTGGTAAAGCTTCAATGTGAACTGAAAATGGAAAGCTATCAGTTGCCCAAGGATCTGGAAGGAAAAGCTTTTCCGTCATCTCTGCGATAAGCTACATTATTTCTCTCACAGCATCTTTACTTCCCTTCATGCAGCTGCTCTGATCGCCACTTTACTAACTGGCCGCCTCTGCCTATATATCATTTCTGTTTCTTTACAGGTCTGTATTGAACATAACTTCAGCTTTCCATAGCTCTTCAGCTCTACCTCCTAGCATCCTTTCCAATTTTCCCATTTCTGTCTCACTCATTATTTTCAATTTTAGGTTTACAAGAATAAGAATGCTTGATCTAGCTCATCTGCTCTGTCAGTTTGTCTTATAGGTTTCTGCTAGCTTAAAGGTTGCCTATTCTTGAGTCAGGTACACTCAACCAAACATCACTAACTTAATCATTTAGTTCAAAACTTGGCCATTTTGACAGAATGGATAAGCAATTTTTCTATTTGAAAAAGCTATCTGCATAATAAGTTTTCAAGGTTTGACCTTTCCTGTAAACATTGTAAAAAAGTTTGCATCCTGTAAACTTTCGTCCAGATGTGAGTGCATTATCTTAAACGATAAATTTCTCTCTTCTATAATTTTTTGTGTGTTTAGAAATACATATTTTGGGATGAAGTCAATTGTATGGTATTTCCTAGCTTAGTAGCTTCCTATTTGTTTTCATCTACAAATAGAAAACACAAATAATCCTTAGTTGGAATATAAACATTTCAGTTTTAGTGAAGTATACCATTACCAACTTGTAATGGTATTACAAGTCATCACTCTGTATACACCAGAGTGACCCCAAATGCTCCACAATCTAGGTAAACTGCTAGGAAGTAGGCAAAAGGTTATTTAACTTCCAAACCCCAGGTCTTTGCTCTGATGGTCACTTCAAAATTCTACAATTTCAAACACCTTTGAAGGCATTCAGTTGAGGCCTCTGGCCTCTAGATGGCCCTCTATCTTTTGGGAATGCCTTAAGGTCCATTTCATGAGGGAAAGTTGAAGCCAGTGATCTTTATGGGATAGCACAATTTACCCTGTATCTTTGCTCAAGGAGTCCTATAGGCTTCCTAAAGCATACCAGACCTAAAATTTTCTGTCTTTTGATGAGTCTCTCCAAAGCAAGGAGTAATACCTGTTTTACTTTTGCCCACATGTGAAGGCACTTCATTTTATTCAAGCCCTGGATTTCAGACATACCATAGCATTTTGTGAGTTGTAGTTAAAATCCCAACCACTCAAGGAATGCAACCATAATCTCCTAAACTCTGTCCTCACCTACAACACAGCCCTTTTGGCTTTCAAGAACTATCCGCAATCAGGCTCAGATGTGCCATCCCTTTGTTATGTAATCAGATGAGTCTGAAAGTGGAAAGTTATTTGTATTAAAGTGAGGAGAAGCATAGAGAAAGATGGAAATGAAGAAAAAGAACAAATCTGAAAGGAATCAGAGACACTTTATTCTGGTACTATTGTTTAGATTTCTAAAGGAAATGGAAAGATGTTTGGCAATGAGAGAAGCCAATGTGATTTTTAGAAGATGGTCGTTTTCTTCAGCATTTAAAATTGTTTTTGCTTTGTTTTGTTTCAATTTTCAAGATGATTATAGAGCTTGGGACATTCATAAAAGTAAACTTTATAAGCCAGAACAAACTTACCACCCCTCTACTGCAAAATTTGGAAATTCAGCGACATTTCAGGATGACTTTGTTCCTCAGGAGATAAAGCCTAGGCAAAGCTTTAAACCTTCCTCTGTGGCCAAACGTTCTACAGCCCCTTTTAATGGTATTACAAGTCATTGCCTTGATTATATACCTCATCGGCTTGAACTCAAGTTTGAAAGGCCAAAAGAAGTTTACAAACCAACTGATCAACGCTTTGAGGATCTCACAACTCACCAGCGTGACTTTCAGGGCCTTGTTGGTGAAACTGCAAAAATCTGCAGACCTGTACACACCAGAGTGACGCAAAAATACTCAGTTTGAAGGTAACACTCAATTCTGTGAAAGTTTTCAACCATGGGAAATCCCACCGCCTGAGGTCAAGAAAGTACCAGAGTATGTGCCTCCTACAGGTAGCATGCTGTTCAACAGCACAAGCCATCTTGACTATGTTCCGTATCTGACTAACTGTGTTGTTCCCATCAGGCCAGTTTCTCAAAAAAGTAGTAACTATTTTCCTTTCCAAGGAAAAAGCACCATGAAGGAAGATTTTCCAGCATGGGAAAGTTGTCGTCAAGGACTGATTAGGAAGCAGCAGCAGCAGATTCCCAACCCATATGGAAAATTTGATGGCTTGAGCACTTTCAGATCTCACTATGTGCCACATGAATTGATTCCAACAGAGAGTTGCAAACCTTTAAATACTGCTTTTAAGAGTTCTCTTCCATTTGATGATGTAACTATGTACTCTGTAGAGTACACACCAAAAAAAAACAGGAAATCTGCCCAGCTAGCTATCCCTCTCCTCCAGGTTATATTTTTGAAAATACAAATTCCCAAAGTCATAAATTCTTCCGCAAGATTACTCCAGCAGTGAAGGCCTTCTAATAACCAAATTGTGCTTAAAAGGAAGCTACTAGCAAGTTGTTGGTTTTCCAAGAGAAAACTCAATTTTATAGTGAAAAAAATTAATGATATAAATCATTTTTTAGATTTTTAAACAAGAAATTGGGAAAATCATTTTTTAGATTTTTAAACAGAATCTTAAAACCATTTTGTATTGATATTTTAACCAAGATTGTTCTTTAATACGCATTTTGGAAGGTTGAATAACACGCATTCCCTATGAACTATTTTAATACTCAACATACTGCTTGGTAGCTTGTCCCCAGTCTATTAAAATTTGCAATTCTGTTATAATTACAGCAACGTATGGTTATCCACATACCAGCTGTCATTTATCAGGCACATCAGGATTATCTAGAACAACATCGAAAATGATACATTGATTCCTCTTCCACGGCAATAGGAGTCATTTACTCAGACTTCAGGGTATCTACATAACATAAAGTCAAGTTTTGGTTGCCGTATGCAAACTGCTGCACTGCTCTTCACCATGTTCAAGTTAGCAAGAGACATTGTTGGTGTGGCAAGGAAAGGCTGTGTGTGCTGGCAATCAAAGGACTTGAGTTCAAGTTCTAACTAATTATTATTATTTTTAGAGACAGGGTCTCACTGTCAGCTATGCTGGAGTCCAGTGGCATGATCATGGCTTACTTAACCTCCTGAGTTCAAGTGATCCTCCTGCCTCAGCCTTTCAAATAGCTAGAACTACAAGAGTATGCCACCATACCCGGCTTTTTTTTTTTTTTCTTTTTTTTTTTTTTTTTAATATACTTCCTAGAAACAGGTTATTGCTATATTGGCCAGGCTGGTCTTGAATCCTGCCTTGGTTTTCCAAAGCACTGGGATTACAGGCATGAGCCACTATACCCAGCCCAAGTTCAAGTTCTAATAATAGTTTTCTATTTGACTCAAATCTCTGAGTCTCAGTGTCTTTGTAAAACATCTGTTCTTAAAAAGTTTGAGTATCAGACTATATATTTTAATCCTTAAAAGTATAAATGTAGAGGATTGTTTAAAAAAAAAAAAATCACTCAATCTATTTGTATACTTGTTTTCTCCTTTTCAAATTGGGATAATTACTCAATTCTCATTTTCTTGCCTATAGCAAGGATTGTAAAATAACCTAATTTGCTTTGAGCTTATGAGCAGTATGTACTTTTTTTTTTTTTTTTTAGATGGAGCTTCGCTCTTGTTACCCAGGCTGGAGTGCAATGGCATGATCTCGGCTCACCACAACCTCCGCCTCCTGGGTTCAGGCAATTCTCCTGCCTCAGCCTCCCGAGAAGCTGGGATTACAGGCACGCACCACCATGCCTGGCTAACTTTCTGTATTTTTAGTAGAGACGGAGTTTCACCATGTTGACCACGATGGTCTCGATCTCTTGACCTTGTGAGCCGCCCGCCTCGGCCTCCCAAAGTGTTGGGATTACAGGCGTGAGCCACCGCACCCGGCCCAGTAGTATGTACTTTTGAAAGGAGTCTTGTCCTTTAAAACTTTATGAGCACCCAAGAAATTCTTAACAGAGAATGGAAAGTTTGCAATGGGGTAAATAGAGTAGTTTAAGTAAAAGTATTTGGAGAAAGGAAAAAGTATTTGCTAGGGTAATTTTAGGAAGACTGACAGCTCTGAAGAAATCTTTAGGGTACACTTAGGTAATTTTGCACCTAATTGCCACGCCAAGTCACTGTTCAGAGGCAGAACTAGCCCCAGCAGGGGCATAATCATCTCATTTACCTCTTCCAGTGTAAAGGTAAGTGCTAAGGAACAGAATGATGCCAGTGTAGTAGAAACACTCTCTTGCATTTATAAATGCTAAAAATGTCCTAATGAATTAAACTCTTATTGGGTGGTTGCTTTAAAAAAATAAATAAATAATTGCATTATGGGAGCGTATGATTTATTTCAGCATAAAGTGAATTTTAGTCTTTTATGGCTTCAGAATTATTTCAAAATATACTTTATTGAAAATCATCAATATTTGGTTATTTTAATTGTCTGAAAGTAATTTGTTCTTATTTACATTTATTAGTAAAAGTATGGTATGTTAAACTTTATATTTCTATGTAACATTAATAAAATCAATAAAAGGAAGGGATTTTCAAGAAATAATTTTTGTACCTAATTTTTTTTAAAGAGCATTTTAATAAAGTCCTGTCTAGGTTAACCTATAGATAAGTAGATGTTCTTACTTTTTAAATAGAAAATAATAATATATCATCAGAATTAAAAATAAGGGAATACTACAGCACTCTGTCATCCTGGCCCATATTCCAATGCTGAATATTCAAATCCCTCTGTAATTCAATGGGGGTGGTCTCCTCCCTGGACAAAGGTCACCCTTAATAAAACATCTACTAGAGTTTCCACAAGCAATTTGCCATGGATAAGGATTGAAGATGAATAATGGTGTCTCTCCATAATCTAACACTTAGTATAACAAGTGTCAAAACAGAGATTGAAACAATATACCGTAAGACATTTAGCCTGGGAGTTCAGGAAAGTCTTCCTTACAGAGAGGATAGACAACTGAGCTGAATCTTGGAAGATGAGCAGGAAATTGCCAGACAAATGGGAAGGTGGGAAGAGCATAAAAATAGGTACAGAGGGAATGTGTATCTCTGTGAAAGTTAAAGGGCTTCCAAGCTAAGGTGGTGGAAACCTAGCAATCTCTGATTCATTCTCCTCTTAGGCACCCTTGAAATACTATGCAGGAACATACACAAAAAACATTTTAACAGGGCTGGAAACTAGTAATATTACAAAGCATCCTGCCAGATTCTAGAAGGAATTTCCACTATGCCAAACTTGGATAAATCTAAGAAAGAAAGAAAGAAAATTTCGAGAGAAAAGTCAGTAGATTTCTACCCCAGCCCCATCCCATTTCCACCCTCTCTGGAAGTCCTTGTGTATAAAATAAAACCACAGACTGAAATGGAGGGGAGGCCTCTGAAGGTTCAATAGAGTTGAGGAAAGCAAACCTTGCAATCATGAGTTAGCAACTTCAAAAATGCTGTTTAAAAACATGCTGATAACATGTTTTTGAAAGGGTTGTGGTGTCCAATAAAATAACAGGACTCTTTCATTTTGTTAAGGCTTTAGCTTTTTTCCTCTGTCACGCAATGCTCTTTTGATGAAAGTGCAGATTTTTACCCTGTATCACAGACACAGAACTTTTACCAATACTGTCCCTCCCCAGCATAAACACAGCATACAACTTGATAGATGCTCTCTAAGGTGGCCAGGGGTATTTCACCATCCCATCCCATCCAATATGCGTATTAAGACTTTTTTTCTTTTTTTGAGACAGAATCTCACTGTATCGCCCAGGCTGGAATGCAGTGATGCAGTGTCAGCTCACAGCAACCTCCACCGCTTGGGTTCAAGAGAGTCTTCTACCTCAGCCCCCACCCCGACCCACCAAGTAGCTGGGACTACAGGTGCTTGCCACCATGCCCGGCTAATTTGTGTACTTTTAGTAGAGACAGGGTTTTGCCATGTTGGCCAGGCTGGTATCAGACTCCTGGCCTCAAGCAATCCACCTGCCTCGGCCTCCCAGAGTGCTGGCATTATAGGCGCAAGCCACCGTGGCTGGCCCAGACTTCCTTAATTGTAGCCATTACATAACTATAATGACTAACCAGGAAATGTGACTGGGAGGAGCTTACAGAGAGTAAGCAATAGGAAAACCAAAGCAAACCACAAAAACATAGATAAAAGTTCTCAACAGATGCTTCACTAAAAAAGATATACAGATAGTGTATTAATTGGTTAAGATTGCTATGAAAAGCACAAAACAGGGAAGCTTGAACAATAGAAATGTATTATCTCTCAGCTCCAGAGACCACAGATCCCAAGATCAAGGTGTTGGCAGGTTGGTTTCTTCTGAGGCTGTATGGGAAAATTGGTTCCATTTTTTTGTCCTAGCTTCTGGTGGATTGCTGGTGATCTCTGGCATTGTTTGGCTCATAAAGCTCTGCCTTTATCTTTACATGGCATCCTCCCTGTGGGCATGCATGTTTTCAAATTTCCCCTTTTTATAAGGACATCAGTCATACTGTATTAAGTCCAATCCTGATCACTTCATCTTTTGCAACGACCCTATTTTCCAATAAGATTATGTTCATAGGTAGTGAGGGTTAGAACTTCATTTTTGGAGGCACAATTCAACCCAGAAAAGATGGCAAAGCAGCACATGAAAAGATGCTTAAAATCAATAGTTATTACGAAAGTTAAAACTGCAGTAAGATACCACTACATACCTACTAGAATGGCTTAAAAACGAAAAACAAAACCCCACAAGCCACCATACACACAAACCTGACAATACCAAGTACTAGAAAGGGTCTGAGACAACTGGAACACTCACACATTGTTCATGAGAATGCAAAATGGTACACCTACTTCGGAAATCAGTTTGACAGTTTCTTATAAACATGCACGTATCATATGACCCAGCAAACTCACCTCTACGTGTTCATCAAAGAGAAGTGAAAATGTAGATTTACCTGAAAATGTGTAAATGAATGTTTATAGAACTTTATCCCCAAACTGGAAACCCAGATTGTCTTTCAGCTGGTAAATGGGTGAACATCTATCCATATATAAAGCCAGTTCAAGGAAGAAACAACATTTTGTTGTCTCAACATTTACTGATTCACCCAACAGCATGCATGAAACTTCAGTATAGTTTGGTAAGTGAAAAAAGCCAGACCAAAATACTACATGTTTTATGATTCCATTTCTATGAATTTCTGGAAAAGGCAAAACTATAGGGACAGAAAATAATAAATGACTGCTAGGGGTAGGGGTAGGAGCAATTGACTACAAAGCAGCAGGACAAAAGAATTTGGGGGTGGAATAGAATTCTTATGTAAGAAATTGCTGGTAGATATCCAATTTTGAATTTGTCAAAACCATTAGAATCCACTGAGTTAATTTCACGGTATGTAAATTATAAAAACTGTCACCTAGGACGTGGGAT